ATATATATATTAAATTATATTTTATAAACTTTATTTTAATATAAAAACAAAAAATATTTTTTAATAAAATTATAAACTTAATATAAAGAAAAAATTTCAATTTTTATTATATTTTATTAATAAAATTAACTCTTGATTACAAACTTTTATTCATTAAATATATATATTTTTTATTAATAAATATAAAATATTCTAGAATATTTCATATTTTATTCTTAATAAAATTAGAATATTTTCTAATTTTATTTATTAACTATTATATTTTTTAAATAAAAATAATAATTTTATAATTTTTATTTTAAATCTAAATATATTTTAATATATTTTTATTTTATTAATAATATAATAACTAATATTAAAATTTAGCTAATATTAGTATATTTTTAATTTTTATTCTCTAATTTATTAATTAATTTTAATATTAGTTATAATAATAAATATAAAATAAATAAAATATTTTTTCCTAATTTTTTTATTTCAAACTTTATTTTATTTAAATATTTTATTGCAAGTTTTTTCAATATTAATCAAATTAGATATATATTTCTTTATCAAATTCTAATTAATAAATATTAAAATAAATATATTATATATATATTATAATACTATAATATATTAATTTTATTAGAGTTTAATATTAAAGTAATATAAATAAATATTATATTAAAATAGTTAATTTTAATTATAACATAAATTATTAGTTAACAAATAATAAAATACTTAAATATAATATATATATTATTATCATTTTTGTAGAATTTAAGATATTTATGTGTTATTCATATATTTCTATTAACTCAAAGATAAAAAAGACTAAGTTTTTATATTAAAAATTATGATTAAAAATAGATAATATATATTTATATTGTAATAAGCTAAAATAATATCCAATAATTTTACTAAATTTTATGTATTTACTTTAGAATTTTAAAGATTATAATACAAAACAATAAGTTTTCCAAGTAATTATTTTTCAAATTAATAATAATGATTTATTATAAGTGATCTATTTTTCAAGATCAAAACCAATACAAATATAATTATTCAAGTTATTTCTGAAGTTCTATCATATGAGAAACTTATTGATTTTAAGCTAAGATATATATATTTATATAAATTATATGTTATATAATATTATTGTTTTTATTATTACTAGTATTAACTTTTGAATTCATAATTATTTTTGTTATTAATTTAATTAAATATGAGTATTACTGGTATTTTTGATATTAATACAAGTATTGATATTATTATTATTGTTAACACAGATATTTCTAGTATTATTAGCATTAATATAAGAGTTAATATCATTAATATGAGTTTAAAAATCAATAATATCTAAGATATAAATGTTCAATAAAATAATAACTAATTAAAAATAGTTATTCAATAAGAATTTCAAATTTATTCAATAAAAATATAAATAATTAAATAATAATTAATTAAATTAATTAAATAAAGTAATTAAAATTATTAAATATAATAAAAGAGATTAATTCTCAATAAAATAACTATTATATAAAATATTTTAATTATAATAATATTCAAAGTTTTTTCATTTATTTTTTTCAATTCACCAAATTTTTCAATTGTTTTTATATTATTTTTAACAAAACATCTCTAACTTTTTTATTATTATTTAAAGCTCATCTCTCTTTATTGCATATATTAATTCATTTATCAAATGAAAAATTATCAATATTGAGAATCTTATTCATTTAAATAATCAGCTTTTCAGTTTTATTTTCTTTTTTTTCAATATAACTATCAGAATTATAATCAAAACATAGTAAATATTTCTTGAAGTTCTATATAAAAAAAATATTAATCAAATTACTTAAACCATTAATTCAAATGCTGGCACTATAAACTCAACCTTGATTACTAATATTTTAAAAAACGATACTTTTTATTTTTGCAATAAAAATTTCGAAATATCATGTCTAGAATTTTTTAAAAGACCAAATAATGAGTTTCCCTATATAAAAATCACAGTGTCTTAATTCTTTTCGATCAGTCAATGGTGATGTCAGCAGCTTTTTCTTTATAGTATTCTCTTAGGTTCAACGCATATTTGAATTTTTTGATCCTAATTTATAACGAATTAAACGATTATTCAATTTGCCCGAATCGATTTTTTTTATAAGAATATCTCAGTCGATCTCAAATGTCTTATCTAGTTCTTCTTTCACGTCTTGGTTTTTCTTGCGGGACTGAGAAAGCTGCAAATCCTTCCGGAGTTCCTGTTGCAGATCGCTGTTCTGCTGCATGAACATATGCATTTAATATTGGTGACCATACAAACTCATGACTCAATATCCGTTGAAGCTTTTTATAGGCGTCAACTGTGGCATAAGGAATTCCAGTTTCAGGATCTTTATATTTTGCGGTGAGGCCAGTAAATGGACATATGCACTTTTTTACCTCTGTTTAAAAAAATGCTTCAATAAAAAGAAGAAATTAAATAATTAAGAAATACATGTAAATTTCAAAAAAAAAAATTACTTTGAGGTTTCTGCCGCCATTCTTCAAATAGTTCTGTACATTCCCTATTCGAAAATCCCTCAAATGTTATTAGTTTTCGAGCTTGCCTTTTATCAGCTTCTTCATCGCCAAATCCATCTGCACCATTCCACCATTGAACATTCGTTAATTCACGTGATATATTTTTACCATCCTCCCCGCTTGACACTTCCATTATAAGTTTCTTTTGTCGATATCTATTGTCATCACCCTCAATATATGAAATATCACGAATGAAAGGTCCCTCTATTTTATTTTTTCTGAATGGTCTTGCCATTTCAATCTTTTCAGCTTCTCGTAATTGGAACTCTCGTAGGGAGCGTAAATTTTCCTCTTCAGTAATTTTAGCTTCCTCAAGTAATTCTTCTTGAGTTTTTGGTCTTTCGACAGGTTTTTCACGTTTTGGTAGTTGAGCCTATTCAAACGAGTCAGATTAGTATTATTAGTTGTTCTTATTAATAATCATTGAAATTTTGTCGATTTGATCACATGCCCTTCGTTTTTCATATTCTTTTAATTTCTTTTGCAGTATTTTTTTGCTCTCCACCGTTTGTCGACGTGAAGAAGAGCGGACACCATTTAAAACGGGAATCGCTAATAAATAAAAAATATTAGTCTATTATAACAAAAAATAAGAATTGTCTCGCACTTTATATTAATATTCACCTATAGGAGCAGGTTTTTTTGTTCGGGCAGGCTTTCGAATCATATATTCATCAGCTCCAGGCATTGATGCAATTTTTTCAGCAGAAACTGTTGGTATTGCTTTCTCTTCAAGACGTTTTCGATTTCGCAATACGGGACCTAACGGTGCCAATATTTTCTTTTTTGCCGCCTATCAAAAATTTGATTTCAAAATTTTTATATACGAGAATTGAAGTATAAATAATACGGCTCCCCCAATATGTATTTTTGTTTATCATACTTTTTTCTCTTTCTTTTCTTCCATGAGGATTTGTTGTTCAGCATCATCATTGTTAGCCTCATCTTCAGCTCCACTGCTTTGATCGAAATCTGAATCAAAGACGTCATCCTCATCTATTATATGCCAATTGAAATATTTACTGAATTATAGTATATATATGGACTTGATCCAAAACCCATAGATCAAAAGCAAAAGAATCACATACCCATATTTACATCAAACTCTTCATCATTTTCTACTTCCATAAACATTTCATCTAACTCCAGTTCACGTTGCAACAACTCATACATACTATACAATATAACTGATTTAGATTAAAGTCAATTCTAAAGAATATTGTTATCTAATAAATTCTTCACTAAAAACGAGTTTTCTTCGCATCTATACTCAACCACTCTGCCTCGAAAGCATTATGGAAATTTCTTTAAGAAAACCAAAAGGCGATTCAACTTAAGAAATAGAAGAATGTAAAAATGCACACCGATTTCCGGCGTTTGCACGCCTTTCTCTCGTTGCTACCATCGACATTTTACTACTGTATTTTATAATATTGAAACCTTTAATATTATTTATTAATTGATGTCGATCAATGCCGATCGTCAATAATTGCACGGCCAATTTATTTTGGTTTCGTAGAAATCAAAATAGCGTTCTTGTCGCTTCCGTGCATTATTTTAATGCATCACTCTTTCAAAAACTACTCTCATTAAACTATATTACAAAGTTTTCATACATAGCAACAAACAACCAACCTTTCAAAACTAAGCTTGCTTTTTTTGAAATGGATATCGATATAAAAGATGATGAAAATGCATCAATAAAATGGACTTTCTCTCATAGCTTTCCCTTACCATACCGTGTGTTAATTTTAATTTGTGTTGGAATTTGGGCGTGGGCCTCTAATTTACAAATATTATCGTGGTTTGGAATTGATGTCCACACGTTAATGTCTACTACATCAAATCAATATACCGAAAAAAGACCTCCGTCCTCTTACAAATCTATATATGCCTTAGCTATTATATTGTCTGGGTGGGTAGGTTTTAATTTAATGACATTTTGGTGGCTAACTGATGGTGATCCCACTGCAATAGCCAATTGGACAATTGTTCCTTTATTTTGTTTCTTAACGATGATAACTATCGTGGTTTGTCCATTTGACATACTGCTTCGACAAGAAAGATTGCGATTTTTGAGGTAATTTCTATTAATATTGTTGTCCTCAAATATTCAGACGATTATAATTTAATTAATCAATTTAATTTCAGTTGCCTAAATCGAGTTTTATTTTTTAAATACGGGACAGAAGTACTTTTTGTGGATTCGATAATGGCAGATATTTTGACAAGTTATGCTAAAGTTTTGGGAGATTTGTATGTTACCGGATGTATTTTGCTTTTCCATAATTTTGAGGAGGCCGGCATTTTTTCAGAGAATAGATGCTGGAGTTATGTGATCGCTCCCCTTTTCACTAGGTAAATTATCTTATTTTCACGGTTTTATTTATATTAGATATTAATTAAATACCTTGATTACAATAATTTAATAGCATACCATATATAATTCGTTTTCGTCAATGTTTATCAGAATATATGAAATCGAATTTTCATAAAAAATGGCACTTATTTAATACCCTTAAATATGCCTCGGCTTTTCCAGTTATTGTTTTATCGGCTTTGCAAAAAAGATACGATTTTGCCACATTGGATTCCGACTCTGCTACTCTTGGACAATCGACTTTATATAATTTATGGTATCTACGAAAAATAATCATTTATTGAAAATTTTTCAAATCAGCAATTAATCAATAACGTTTACATAATTAGGTTATTTTCCGTAGCTTTAAATTCCGTGTATGCTTTCTATTGGGATGTAGAAAAGGACTGGGGACTTCAATTTTTCACATCCGGATCTTCCCATAAAAGTAGGTTGGGTCGCATTTCATTGATAATTCCAAACTTTAAACTCCGACGGACAATGCACTTCAAATGGCCAATAATATATTACCTTGCTATACTGATTGACTTCTTACTTCGATTTACATGGTCGCTCAAACTTTCATCACATTTGCATGTGGTTACTGAATTGGAGGCTCGTGTTTTTCTGATGGAATGTTTGGAAATTGGGCGAAGATGGTTATGGATGTTTTTCAAGATGGAAAAATTATGGGTACACGAACAAAAAACTTTGGGGTATGAGTTAATGAGTAATGGTTTTATACATCATAATAATAATAATATTAATAATAATATTAATAATAGTAATAATAATAATAATAATAATTTGAATGGCGGGACCAAAATAGGAATGACTGAAGTATATCACAAGGATGATGAAAATTTACTATAAAAACATTTGATTATAAATTTTTCAATAATAAGAATCACATGATTAGATTATACACGAGTAAAGAATCACATGATATGATATCATTGTTTAGTTGGTTGAAGTTGTTTCAAGAAATATCGATATTATTTTTCGAATGGAATGGATGTAAATTCCTTTCCAACTTCACCGCGTACAGTGAATACTCGAAAGTCAATTACAACAAAAGAAACTCCTTCAATATCATCTCCTAATTCGACAGTATTTGCTGCTTTTCTTGAACAAGATTTTGATCCAAAGGCATGGCTAAATACCAGACTCAAGTCAACCTCGTCAAATACTTCTTCTGCTTCAAAACGACGCCGTTCTTCAACAACCACAAATATACACTCCTCATCTTCCACTGACTTGATTCATGGTGAAAAACTTAACAGGGCACAACTTTCATTACTTTCAGGTCACACAGCAGAGCTTGTTGAAAAGTTACAGTACTTAAACCAGGAAGTTTCTAATCGTCTTGAACGCACCATTGAAAATGTGGTGAAAAGCATGCCAAATGTAATTTCAGAATTAGAAGGGTTAAAAGAAGATACTGAGAAATTGAAGGTTAATCTTTCCACTGTTCAACAGCACCTTGGTGATGTTGAGGGTAATACCGGTATCGCTTTAGATCGACTTCGATACCTAGATTTGGTAAAGACACGTATGGAAGCTTCACGTGCAGTATTGCGCGAAGCGGAAAATTGGTCTAGCCTTGAAGCTGAAGCCAGCACCATTTTTGCTTCGCAAGATTATCAGAAAGCCAGTGTTCGACTTCAAGAAGCCGAAAAAAGTTTGGCGATTTTCCAGAATACACCAGAATATGAAGAAAGAAGGCGATTATTAACAGAATTACAGAATCAATTAGAGGCAACTGTTAGTCCACAAGTGGTCGCAGCATTGAATCAACACGATATCAAGGTTTGTCAAAAATTTTACGTTATTTTTGACCAAATTGGACGAAAAAAGGCTTTTTGCAATTACTATTATGGATCAAGAAAAGCTCCTCTTGTTCAACTATGGCAAGGATCATTAGTATTAGAGGATAGAGCTTCTCTAGAAGGAACTGCCAATAGCAATAGTAATAATGATGATGATGACAATACAAAAGATTTTCAAAAAAACACGAAATTCGTCGATTTTTTAAAAAAATTCTACGACGAATGTTTTGTGGTGTTAAATGAAGAGTACACGTGGTGTGGTAGTGTGTTTCCTGACGCGAATGAAACACTGGCTGCATTGATTGAAAATATATTCAATTCGATTAAACCACCAGTGACTGCACGCTTGGCTGAATTGGTCGATTATTATCATGATCAATGTCTACCCCAAATTATTGAAGCATTCACAGTAAGCGAGAATTTCGGCCGAAAAATAGAGCAAATGCTACAAAGATCAATTCAAACTCCTAAATTATCGCACACTGTTGAAGTAAAATGGGGTCAATCAGTTTTTGAACCCTTTTTAATATATCAGTATGATTATGCAGCATATGAGAAAAACTATCTGATTGCAATGCTGAAAAAAATTCTATCATCAAATATTAAAACATCGACCGTTGACTTATCACGCGTGATTTTAGATACTAGTGGTAAGCTATTTAATTTAGTAGATGAAGGTTTATCACGATGTATGGAATTCACACACGGATTTGGTAGCGTTGGCTTAATTGAAACATTAAACCAATTTTTCGAGACTACAATCAAAGAATATTTTATACTTTTAAACAAGTTACGTTCTGAATGTGGACTGGATCTGAAAGAATCGAAACAACCAAACAATAACAATAGTGAACTTTTTGCTAAATCATCTTCTGGTCCTGCTGCTTCGAATTTGAGTTTGGATGATGATTTTGATCAAGATAATCTTGCACATGAAGATTGGTCAAATTTCCAAATTGGCTTACGATTGCTGGCTACATGTCGCACATTTTCGGAGAAGCTTGATTCATTTGAACATAAAACTGCTGAAACTCTGTTAAAGACAAATGAATTAATTCAGAGTGCAGATATTAATAATGAAAAAACAAACACAAAATTACATTGGTATGAACAACGACGACCTTCTTTTCAAGAAATCCCTACTTCTGTAGGAACGAGTGCATTAATAAGCCTTTTACAAGAATCCCCGCTTAATAGCTATCAATTACGTGAATTAATTTCGAGTCTTGAAGAAAATCATGCCACTGTTAAAGAAGACGAGGAGGAAAAAATTGAGATAAATAATCAAAAAATTAGAAAAGAACATTTATTGTTTCGATCTGCTATAGAACTTCTTGATCAATTTATTCGGGGATGTCAGCGATTTGTATTTGACACGATTTTCTTACCCATCGTTAAGCATCTCTCCAATATCAGTAAAATGGAAGTCTGGAAAACAGCACCAGAGTCAATTAAACAACGCTCTGTGTTGAACTTGGAAATTCCAACTTTTAGTTTATCACCTAGTGAGTATATAACTCGCATTGGAGAGCATCTTTTAACGCTACCACAACAATTCGAGGTTTACGCAGATGACAAATCATTGGCGTTTTCTATTTCTTCGTTACCACACAATGACGATACTGATGATTTCGGTGATGATGATAAGATAGAAACAATGACAATCACTCAAAAGTCCGCAGAACCAAAACTACCTTCAGTATCAAATTTAGAATTGGATACAATAACAAATATTGATCAGCAAGAAAATGTCAAAGAAACAATTACAGTAACACACGCTTGGATTACATCAATTGCACGCGGAACAATGTATGCATTGGTGGAAAAGATTTTATCCATTCCACAATTATCTAAGCATGGCACTCGACAACTACTCACCGATCTCGGTTACTTGACTAATGTTCTGTCGGCTCTTGATATTTCTGCAGTGGATGAACTTTTACAGATATATAATATGTTGGAGATGGAAGAAGGGCAAGTGCTCGAATTTATCTCCCAAATTAATAATAATATTAATAGTATAAATAAAGAAGATTTCGTCTTGAAAAATAAAGAGACAATGATCAAAGTTGCAGCTATAAGAGGATTTTAAATTTATTTGATAGTTAATTTGATCAATTAATTTATTGGTTATTAATTTTAAAAAAGGAAATAAAATTCTAATATAAATTCTCTTTATAATTACTATTCTCAGAAAGTCAAGGGTTTGATTATATTATAATTACTTAATAACAGAAAAAGTCAAATTCTAAGAATTGGCTATAAATTTGGTGAATAAATCTATTGATCTAAATTTTTAGTCTAATTGAATCAAAAAAAAAATTTCACAAAATAAAATTCTTTGGAAATTCATGTATTATTTTTTAAATTAACATAAAAGAGAAATAAAAAATTGTTTTTAATAAAGACAAATTAAAAAAGTAAGTTTTAGAATAAAAATTCTAAATTTTTTAACTTATATTGGGTTATAAGCTATATAATTTTTTGGGTATTATTAAAACAGAGTAATATCCAGTCACAATTAATGTCATATAGTTTAGTGATCTGTGACATAATAAAATACATGTTCATATATTTGTTAAATTACAAGATATTCATATGTTTGTATACTTGTATATATGTAACTGTAATTAAATTATAAGATATTCATATATCTACAGCTAAATTACAAGACAAAGAATAAGTTTATTGTGATATAATAATAATATTGTTATCATTTTGATGGAGCTTTGAAATACTCAAGGATATTTATAATATTCAAAGAGGAAACTTGAATATTTTAATGACAATTCACAGTCTTAATAATATTTTATGACTTTAGACTAAATATAAATTAAAGTACAATAAGTATTTATAAGAATTACTTAAAGGTTGGTAACAGTTATATTCTTTTAATGTAATAACTGGACTGCTAAAAAGAGTTCTCAAAATCTCAATATCAAATATAATATACGTATTAAAAATGTCTTTAAATC